CATTGCTCTACTTATGAAGTAAAGCGAAGCGACGGAACCACAATGCAGTTCGGCAAAGCATGACGTCACCCCATTCAAAGTGAATGGGCAGAAGCGTTGAAGCTTGGCTACGAGTTCAGCTCCGTGTGGACGGGCCGTCACTTTACTTAAACCCCAAATATCTGCTGACTTACAGACGTCTTGTTCCCACTGTAAATCAATGGGAACATTTATTTTGGGGGTCAATGACCTCACAGACAGAAACTGTAGTACCACCATTTGGCCACTACGGAAATGTGCTTTTCCGTTCGGTGGTCTTCCTTGGGACTTCATTAGATTGTGTTTTTCAAAAGGAACAAAAATCATCTTAAGCTTTCAGATCCCTTTTTAAATGGCAACTTCCAGGGATTCACTTTGACTGATGGTAAGAGAATAAGATGGAAGAAGACCAATGTAATGTGAGAAGTGCTCGAACTGTTGGGTTTATTATCTCAATCAACTGTATTCCTTGTCCAATGAAATGGCCCTTTGTATCTAAAGTAGTGATTTTCAAGATTGTATTTGCGATAGATAGATAGATAGATGGAGAGATAGATAGATAGATAGATAGATAGATAGATAGATAGATAGATAGATAGATAGATAGATAGATCGATAGATAGATAGATAGATAGATGGAGAGATAGATAGATGGAGACATAGATAGATAGATAGATGGATAGATATAAGGGGCTTTCACACCGGAGTACTTTTCCCCGTACTTTTCCCGTTTAGTTCCGTTAGTACCCCTTATGTCGCGTTCACATCAAAAAGAGTACTTAGTGCCAGGAACTGTTACCCCCATTGTTAGTGCCTGCTGAGAGGTGGTACTCTCCTGGGGGGAAAAAAAGTGCCCCAGTTCTGATTGGCTGGGCGAATTGCAAACCACGCCCCGTAAAACTCAGAAATGTTTTGTAGAGCCGCCATTTTATTATCCTCGCATTAGCATTATTAGCATTAGCATTCGCCCCGCGCACCAACGGAGAGAGACTAACTTATGGCAACACAAAATAAAACATGGGAGCGATGGAGATGAGGAGGTGTCGGTGTTCTGGCGATTTACACGGAAGGCTTCAGTAGAAGCAGCTGGGAGTCCCAGCAGCTTCTACTGAAGCCAGTCCCCAACTCCGGGGACTTCCGGCCGGGGACTTCGGGTGGCAGTATACGCCGTGAAGTTGTTGCCAGTAAACCCAAAGCAGAAGAAGAAGAAGTGACGTCAGCGGCTCATTTGCGTAATCTTCCCTCAGGGAACTTATTCCGGTGTGAACGCGATCGGCTCTTAGTTCCATGGGGGAACACTAAGTGCTGGGAACTAAGTGCTGGGAACTGAGTACGGCAAAGTACTGGGTGTGAAAGCGGCTATAGATAGATAGATAGATGGATAGTGTACCGTGTGGCCACCCTACATGTCTCTCTAATGAAATCAGACTGATGCCTATGGCCATTTCAAGGGTAACAGGTGTTCAGGCTGTGTGTGTGTGTGTGTGTGTGTGTGTGTGTGTGTGTGTGTGTGTGTGTGTGTGTGTGTGTGTGTGTGTGTGTGTGTGTGTGTGTGTGTGTGTGTGTATGGGTGTCAGTAGAGATTAGTGAGTGCGGTCAGAGACATAGGGTCGATTATGGAATTAAAGGATGATCGCGGCTGCCTATTGTTCCTATAGCCGGGGATCACTGAGTCATAATGCCTCTCTGAGACTCACATGAGACACAGAGAGTCCAGAGATAAGGGGTTAGGGCACAGGCCGTATCAGCAAATGAACGTATCATTAATGATTTATCAATAATATGTATTCTTTCAGCATGAAATTCAGATGTACAAGAGCAGAAACATGGTTATTGTGGACGGTACGGGTGATATGAGACAAAGAAAAAGTCAATCCAATTGAAAGAAAATAAGAAAAACCATCAACTCTTATATACTGTATCTCCACCACTGCATCTAAAAACAAGAATCCCCACAGAGCACTTTTCATATCACTCCCCTTTCAAACTATGGGGCTTTTTTCTGTTGTGTACATGTCTTGGCCTCTGCTCAACTGAGTGCAGATCTGACACATACAGCGCTGCAGCGATCACAAACCAGCTCTGGGATCTAATCATGTCCGCCTCGATCCCTCTGCTGTCACCTTGCCCTTTAATTTCCTCACAAAGGGCCGAGGAGGCAGAGTGATCTCATGCTTTCTGTCTCTGTGTCTTAGCTTTACCCTGGGACTCACTCATTAACCCTCACCCCGTTAGACTTCTGCTCGACTATCCTTCTCTAATGATAACTCTGCTCTTTCTCCGTTTCCCTTTCTGCTTTGTTTTAAATGTCCATCACTGTCTCACAGCAACATTCCTTCACCACTCATACACAGTCAGGGATACTATAGAGACAGAAACACTCCTCATAACAGAACTCAACGACAGAACCAGGCTTATCTAAAAAAGAGATTTATACAAAGGTTTCAATCGACAGGTATTTGAACCAGCATCGAAACAGTTTGAAGTCCATTGGTTTATAGCCAAAAGGTCAAGACCTCCCTCCTCATGATGAAGAACATAGTTATTGTGACATAGAGGATCAGGGCCACAATTAAGAACAACATATTTCACAATGTTGAATTTATTTTCCAGATTTTTTTCTGAGTTGTGACTTTGTTTCAAGAATTCTGATTTCAGTTTAAAAATTCTGATTTATTTTTCAAAATTCAAATTATTTTTTAATTCTGACTTTTGTCAAATTCTGACTTTTTTTCAGAAGTTCTGACTTTTTTCAGAAGTTCTGACTTTCATCTCAAAACAAAAACATCTCCCTTTTCTTTCCTCAGATCTCAAAAAAAGTATTCACATTCGGCCCTAATCTTTTTCCATACATTTTCGTACTTTTCTCCCACTTTTCTTCTTGTCTGTGCTGAACATTACATCACATTACACGTCACTTGTTAGACGCTTTTATCCAAAGCGACTAACATACTCTATACTGGGGGCAATCCCCACAGGAGCTATTTGGGGTGAAGTGTCTTCAGGGACACAACGACATGCTGACTGCAGTGGGGTTTGAACCTGTGACCCCCTGATCCCAACACCAACGCACAACCCACTGCACCACACACCCATACTTGTGCCTCTCCAGCCTGTAGCCATCTCTCAAATCAAAACAACCCAAGTAGGAACCCACTCAACTCAAAAGCTTCTGATGAAAGCTCACGTGTATTTCTTTATTTCAAAAGGCAAAAACATTTGGAAACAGAAGGACACCGAGGCACTATGATAACAAAACAAGAAATGTAGAAAGTAAAATTGTCAAAGTTCGCCAGTACCATATTTTCAAATGTGATAATTTCATGTGTCATGAATGTCAATTTATTGAACATGTCAGAAACAAAACATACAACAATAATAATAATATATATATATATCATTTTCTTTCTTGTTTTTTCTCACTCAAAATAATAATAATTCTCAAATAGTCTGTCATGTTCAACAGCAAGAAGAAGCTTAAAAAGACGTTTCTGGTCCTACCCCCTCTAGCACACATGTTCCTTATAAATAAAATATTAGGTCATCGTCATCAGCGATATGTTTGTCTAAATAAAAAATGTCTTTCATTGTTTGTAAAGTACCTTGAATTGCCTTGTGTTGAAAAGTGCTATATAAATAAACTTGCCTCGTTAATTTGTTTGTTTTTTTACAAAACAATCAGAAATAAATTACTTTTACAATTAAAATAAATAACAAATGGGATTTTACAGGTCCTGTTCATAACCATTCATGATTGGGCTCCTAACTAATACTTTCAGTTTAGATAGACAATATTTCAGTTAATAAGTTAATTAACTTGTTTGTGTAACCGTGAGACTGAACTTTGGGCTCTGGGCAATTGTGTGTGTGTTGTATTTCTTCAACTAAATGATGAATCATGCAAAAGAAAATATAAACAAAAATAATTGTAACCCTACTCTCCAGTAGCTGCCCTTTAATGAGAGACTCGGCCGATATGCTGCTCTCTGATCTCTGACAAAGAGACATATCTGCAAAGCTATCATTCAACAGAGGTATTTGAACATAAACAAGGAGCCATCGCTATATGAACAACACATCAATCTATCTGTTCCCACTTTCTACATGGTTGTTGATGTGAACCATGTCAGCACTGACGGCACACTAAGAGCCAGATGAAATATAAAGTGCATTATGGAGCAGTTTCTCTTTTGAAAGTGTCTTTTTATACAAGAGGAGAGAATAGGGTTTACAAAACAACCCGTCATCTCAAACCTGTGTTCCTTTTCGAAGCAATTTGGTCGTGAGGCCACGATTTGTTCATCTGTCTCACACCTCCCACATGATCTCACGCTACCAGAGAGAACTATTGAATTAGGGCAAATCAGGCTATTGTGAGGTGAAAACATGACAGAGAAAACACACAGAGAAAGGCTCCTCTCTAACAAAACGTTATCCACCTTGTTCTGTGGATATGTGTAGGTAGAAGGTGTCTGTTTTGATTGGACACAGCACAGTGTGATAATGGCAAACTGTGTGCATGATTGTTCCTACCAGCCTCTTGAATACCCACTACAACAGCGTACCTGAGCAGCTGTGAAGAAGGGAATAACATCGCCATCTACAGGCCGTCCACAGCATTACACTCACACACACACACACACACACACACAAATAATGCCTATCATGCTCTCCCACGTTACTCGCTCTTTTCAACAAGTGTGTTCAAACTGCCACGAGAGGAAGCTTCTCCACACAGAACAAACACACCAATAGCAGTGAAGCGTTTACCCACTTCTCCATGAGACTCAGAACTATATCTCCCTGTGCAAGCTCACTTCTAGAAAGCATGCAACATCGAGAACAAACGGTGAAAACAAAGACAGATAGCGGAGAGGAAGAGGGAGGATACTGACACACAGATAACCTTCGCTGAGAACATGCACAGCTTGGAAGCTCGGAGAGAAAAGCTCCTCGGGACATAGATGTGTTTTCCTTCTTACCTATGATGGGAGCCAGGCGGAAGATGTCAGATAGACGACTGTTCACGGGTTCATACGGAGAATCCTCCAAGAAGTCATTACCTGCGGGGAAGAGAGGGAGATGTTTAGATTAGGTAGGTAGGTAGGTAGGTAGGTAGGTAGGTAGGTAGGTAGGTAGGTAGGTAGGTAGGTAGGTAGGTAGGTAGGTAGGTAGGTAGGTAGGTAGGTAGGTAGGTAGGCAGGTAGGCAGGTAGGTAGGTAGGTAGGTAGGTAGGTAGGTAGGTAGGTAGGTAGGTAGGTAGGTACACAGGTAGGTACGCAGGTAGGTAGGCAGGTAGGTAGGTAGGTAGGTAGGTAGGTAGGTAGGTAGGTAGGTAGGTAGGTAGGTAGGTAGGTAGGTAGGTAGGTAGGTAGGTAGGCAGGTAGGTAGGCAGGTAGGTAGGTAGGTAGGTAGGTAGGTAGGTAGGTAGGTAGGTAGGTAGGTAGGTACACAGGTAGGTACGCAGGTAGGTAGGTAGGTAGGTAGGTAGGTAGGTAGGTAGGTAGGTAGGTAGGTAGGTAGGTAGGTAGGTAGGTAGGTAGGTAGGTAGGTAGGTAGGTAGGTAGGTAGGTAGGTAGGTAGGTAGGTAGGTAGATAGGTAGGTAGGTAGGTAGGTAGGTAGGTAGGTAGGTAGGTAAGTAGGTAGGTAGGTAGGTAGGTAGCAGAGTTGGGTATAACGCGTTACTGTAATAATATTAATTTTGCTGGTAACGAGTAGTGTAGCGCGTTACTTTTATAATTTAGTAATCACACTACAGTTACTAACATTGCCCCGCCACGCGTTACTTCGTTACTTTTATAAAATAATCACACTCACTGACAGACAAGAGGGGTTTCCGCCGCAGGTTTACAGTCTATGGTTTATATACATGTAGGCCTATGTAATCTGCGCGACTTGCGAGACCACATCTCCGCGTGCAGTGCTGCATAAACATGGCTGAGTCTTTTCATCTGTAAACTCCCTCAACGGGCCGCTCGCTCTCTTTTGTTGATCGCCCTCTCACGGGTGAACAGTTCAATGCCCCGCTTCATTGTAGGAATTCTGCCATGTCTCTACCACTTTAGTTTGACCATCTCTGTTACTAAGTTATGGAATACTAAATAAATAAGTAATTAGATACCTTACCGTTACTGCGCTCAAAAAGAATGATAAGAATAATGCGTCTTGAACTGGTTTCATTAATGAGTGTCTTGACGTTTCACAGACTGTTAGCTTGTTGTGTGGCTGGTAGCCTATTTTAGAGCATATAAAAAGAAAGACTTATGTTATGTCTTCCTTAATGCAATAGTAATTCTGGGGGCAAGTGAAGTCTCGCAGAGGCAAAACTGTGGCGCGCACACTGTAGGTGCGCCGCAGTCTGCGTGATCTGCCTGTAGGGAGGGGCGGGTCGACCCTGCGAGTAAAGTAACGAGTAAAGTAACGAGTTACTTTACGTAGAGAGTAACGAAGTAGTGTAATATATTACTTTTTTTTAAAGTAATATGTAATATGTAATATATTACTTTTTTTTAGTAACGACCCCATCTCTGGAGGTAGGTAGGTAGGTAGGTAGGTAGGTAGGTAGGTAGGTAGGTAGGTAGGTAGGTAGGTAGGTAGGTAGGTAGGTAGGTAGGTAGGTAGGTAGGTAGGTAGGTAGGTAGGTAGGTAGGTAGGTAGGTAGGTAGGTAGGTAGGTAGGTAGGTAGGTAGGTAGGTAGGTAGGTAGGTAGGTAGGTAGGTAGGTAGGTAGGTAGGTAGGTAGGTAGGTAGGTAGGGAGAGAGAGAGAGATAGATAGATAGAGAGATGGATGCTTTTACATACGTTTATTTTTGTCTTATCGGTTTTTTCTAAATGTATTTATTCTGCTTTTTTATATAATGATTGATTTACAACACTTTGGTCGACTCTGTTGTTTTTAAATGTGCGATATAAGTAAAGTTGGATTGGATTGGATATACGTTTGTATTTGGAGCCCCCTTTTTGTTTACCATTGCCCCCCCCCCCCCCTCACACTGGCCTGCATGTGACAGGGTTATTTGGGTCAGTCGATATCCACGCTGGCACACAGCACCACGCCTGATTAGGCAGGTTGGTCAGCTGTGTTGCGCAACTGGAAGTGGAGTCATGGGTCTGGATGCAGTTTAGGAACTAAAAGCCCCCCCCCCCCCCCCCCTGCTATGATCAACACTTAAAGATGGCACTGCCAGCGCTGAGGGGCTTCGCGCTCCATTAGCTCCAAGGAAAGTGATTTAGGAGATCAAAAAGTGTCTCATCTCTACAGGACCCTGGCTGGAAGGGGGGCCACATTTCACTTTTGAGTGTCTGTGCATGATTGCATTGGACTGATATACGGATAAAGAGCTGTGTGCTACTTTGGTTGTGTGTTTTCTGGGGTATAGGGAGGGTCATGATGCTGTGAGGGGAGGGGGCCAAGTCCATACTACAGGGGGGGGGGGAGCTAGGGCCACTAATCCTCATTTGTTTTCAGAATTCTCCCTTTAAAAATAAAATAAAAATCCTGACTTTTTTTTCAAAAATCCATAATTTGTTTTCAAATGTCATAATTTTTTTTTAATTCCGTCATTTTTTATTCGAACTTTTTCTCAAAATTCTGAAATCTTGACTTCAATCTCAGAAAAAAAAACGTCTATCAGATCTAAAAAAAGAATTAAAATGTAGCCCTAATCCACTACCATCATTGTTCTGACTTTTCTCCTACTGGCTGTAAGGGGGGCCACATTTCACTTTTGAGTGTCTGTCCGTGATTGCATTGGACTGATATACGGATAAAGAGCTGTGTGCTACTTTTCTTTTGTGTTTTCTAGGGTATAGGGAGAGTCATGATGCTGCGAGGGGAGGGGGCCACTAATCCTCTCAACCCCTTTACAGAGCACATTAGAAAACCTATGGGGAATGTCCTTTTTACATGAACTGTTCTCTAAATGTGGCTGAACACAGACACATGAGGGACTTTGTGCATTGGAGAAAAGCAGGTATATAAAGCTTAGACTCTGATCAGGATAAATCAACATAATCTCGTCTGTTTCTTCTTGCACTATTTGTAATGTTCTTATTGTTCAATTGCATTGTTGGAGGAGCTTGGGACTTCAGATGTACATTGCCATAACTACTGCTTCTGTGCATATGACAATAAAGCCTTTGAATCTTTGAATTGAATCCACATCTCGGATCTTTGACAGTAAAAACGTTGTTGACGGATAAGTTCCCTGAAAGCAGTAAACCCACCTTGTAATGTCTGATAGATCCATGCACTTATAGCTGTGCCCATATGACAACAAACCCTTTGAATTTAATCTAAATCTCAGATCTTTGACAGTAAAAATGTCCCTGAAAACATACCTTGTAATGTCTGATAGACCCATACACATATAGCCACTATGTATACGACAATAAAGCCTTTGAATCTTTGAATCTGATCAAAATCTCGGGTTCTTTGGAGTGTTTTTGACGGTAAAAATGTCTGATAGATCCATGCACTTACAGCTTCTATGCATAGGACAACAACCCCTTTGAATCTTATCAACATCTTGGTTATTTGGAGTGTTTATGACAGTAAAAACATACCTTCTGATGTCTGATATACACCATATAGCTGTGTCCATGTAACAATAACCCTTTGAATCTGATCAAAATATCAGGTCGTGTTTTTGACAGTAAAAATGTCTGATAGATCCATACACTACTGCTACTGTGTCCATATGGCAATACTGTGGTGACCACCTTTAATACATTGGGTTACATAATCCACACATGGAACTAGAGTTGGGGGTATTGTTTCCACAAGGACATATATGTGGTTACCTTTATATGTCGGCACTACACTGGTGACCCCTACGTGATCCAGTGTAGTGCCGAGAGAAAGGGAGTCGGAGGCGGTGCATCGAAGGTGCAAAACTGTCTTTAATGAGCAGCAGAAATGCAGGTGTTGTCGGGTCGCAGCCCGGGACAACAAAAGAAAGAGCCAGGAGGGCACACAACATATAAAGGTAACCACATATATGTCCGTGTGGAAACAATACCCCCAACTCTAGTTCCATGTGTGGATTATGTAACCCAGTGTATTAAAGGTGGTCACCACAATACACCCTTTGAATCTTATCGAAATCTCTGGTCGTTGGAGTGTTTTTGACGGTAACTTTCCCTGAAACCAGTGAACTCACCTTGTAATGTCTGATAGATCCCCCAGTAGATGCGCAGGCAGTTCTTCTCCTTCTTCATGCCCCGTTTACAGCGGCAGTGGTACAGAGGGCTCTGTTTGATGGCGTCCATGGCGCTCCGGCACTCGTCCTTGGCCTCCAGGCCGGCCACCATGCTGAAGTTACTCTCCTTTCCTCCGGCCACGCACTGCCTCATGGTCCGGTACTTGGTGCTGCACACCTGCTCCTTCAGGCAGTGCTCGCTGGCCCGCACACAGTCCAGCCGGCCGGACCGCAGGCTCTCCTCCGCCAAACACCACACATCTGGGGACAGAGGACGCATTCAGTGTAAGGATCGGTCAAATAAAACTTATAATTGTGCTTTTATTTATGTCTTAAAGGTCCCCTATTATACTGTTTTTCATCAATATATTACAGGTCTCAGATATATACAGAGCCTGTCTCTGATTGGCTGAAACACCAAACAGATCATTGCAGCATCCCATAATCCCCTCTGTTTAAAAAAAAACAACATGAGAGCGGTGGAGTGATGAGGAGGTGTCGGCGTTCTGGCGATTTACTCGGCAGACTTCAGTAGAAGAAGAAGAAGTGACGTCAGCGGCTTCATTTGCGTAATCTTCCCTCAGGGAACTTATTCCGGTGTGAACGCGATCTGTACTTAGTTCCATGGGGGAACTAAGTGCCGGCACTAAGTACGGCAAAGTACTTGGTGTGAAAGTGGCTAATGGTGCTCTAGGAGGAGATGCAGGTGATAAGAGGGGGGTTACCTTGGTTGCTGATTGGCTAATGGTGACACAAGACAAAATATCGTTATGACATCATAAAGTGGCCAAAATCTGATCAGCTCATTTTCAGACAGGTTTTTATAGAAATGGATCAAAAAGAGAGAGAATCTTTGTTCCTGAAACTTTCAGAGTCTCTTTCCACAGAGGGGACACATGTTGATGTAGAAGAGACATGAAGAAGAGGGGACACATGTTGATGAAGAAGAGACATGAAGAAGAGGGGACACATGTTGATGTAGAAGAGACATGAAGAAGAGGGGACACATGTTGATGTAGAGGAGACATGAAGAAGAGGGGACACATGTTGATGTAGAGGAGACATGAAGAAGAGGGGACACATGTTGATGAAGAAGAGACATGAAGAAGAGGGGACACATGTTGATGTAGAAGAGACATGAAGAAGAGGGGACACATGTTGATGTAGAAGAGACATGAAGAAGAGGGGACACATGTTGATGTAGAAGAGACATGAAGAAGAGGGGACACATGTTGATGTAGAGGAGACATGAAGAAGAGGGGACACATGTTGATGTAGGAGAGACATGAAGAAGAGGGGACACATGTTGATGTAGAAGAGACATGAAGAAGAGGGGACACATGTTGATGTAGAAGAGACATGAAGAAGAGGGGACACATGTTGATGTAGAAGAGACATGAAGAAGAGGGGACACATGTTGATAGGTGACCTTTAATGTATACATAGACCTATGTATAAATGTGTCTGTTGATTCTGTATATATATAGGTATTTACATATTTTCATATATATTTGTTTTTATATTCAGGATTGTTGGAAACGGTATTTCGATCTCTCTGTCTGTACACACAAACTGAAAGATTGACTTTGACTTTTGACCTTGATTAATTAGCTTACTGTACACTGGAAAAACTGAAATCATTACTTGAATTAAAGGTATTATGTCGACACATTTTACATAACTGCATTAGGGTTAGTTGAAAGCAAAAATGTTACGTTGAACCTAACGTGTTTTTATTTGGACTACTTTATAGTATTGCTTTCAACTTACTTGATGCAGTGATGTGAAATCTGCTGACATAATACAGTTAATACAGATTTTTCAGTGCAGTACATTTTGCAGGCTCTCCTCCGCGAAACACATCTGGAGACAGAGGAGGCATGTATTGTAATGATTGATCAAATACAAATAAGTCTGCATGTTAATTAGCTCACAGTACAGTGTATACGATTAGATGAAAGCGACAATATTAAGTTGAACCTAATGTGTTTTTATTTGGACTACTTTCAACTGACTTAATACAGTTATGTGACATTTGTTGACATAATACATTTAATTAAAATCAACGTTTCAGTTTTTTCAGTGTGGTGCATTTTCTTGGCACGCGGTTCTCCAGAACAGAGGAGGCATTTATTTTAATGATAATAATTAGCCTAATAATACAAGTCTAAATCAAACATGCCTCTTTTGGTTTGTTGCTAATTAGTTCGCAGTACATTTCCAAGTTTTATGAAGACAGTTTTTTATTTTTATGTCGTATTGCTTTGTTGGAAGAGCCTGGACTTAAGATGTCCATTGCCATTTACTGTGCATATGAGAATAAAGCCTTTGAATCTATTGGCATGACAATTGCTGTAGGTCACACCACACATATTAGTTTCACATTTGAGGAGACCAACGCAGTTTCATACAACTTTGCGATCCTCCAGTTACAGATGAAACGTGCATTTGAGAGATTGCACATCATTATTGTTTTGACGACAGATCCGGATTTGTTTTTGGACTACATTAGCCTCCACGCACGCGCTCACTGCCAGGCTCCGCCGTTATTAATAGAGCCACTAAACATCAAGCACACTAATTAGATGAATTAGTATCAAACGGACAGATGTGGGGTGTAATACAAAAGCCAGTGAAACTTACCCAAAAGAGGCAGAAGGACGTACAGCACCGGGAGGATCATCGTCTTCCTCTCCATGTGAAACTCAAACCCTTATTGGAACAAAATTGGCGATCAAAAAGCGACTTAACAGTACTTTAATTCCCAGGGTACTTCCAGTGTATTACAATCCATTGGAGAGAAAAAAGACGTGTGCGCTCCAAGAACAGATGCGAGAAATACAATCCCCTCAAAAAAGAAGTGTCCAGTCCCGATTCTCAGTTTCTCAGTCAATACAAAACGCAGAAAGTGGTTATTACTCTCTTTTGCTCCCGTGCGGGTGGTCTTCTCGCCGCCGGGAGACAAAGACCCGGGATCAGAGCTCGGTGAAAGCAGAACGGGAACGAGAGTCCTCCTCCAAGTCCTGCAAGCGGGATGAGTCCGTGCGTCTGAGTGCGCGCAGCAAACTGGATCCACCGCTGTCTGCGCACTCAGCACGAGGACAGCCAGCTCCCCCTCACACTACAGCACAGATTAATACACTCACATAGACGTAATGGTATTCAAGTTGTCTTTATATAGTTTGTTATATCGTTGTTTTATTTATATCGTCCTTTTCTTACAAGTTGTGTTTTTGTACGAACCAAATACATCAAGGTAAATTCCTATGTGTACTTGGCAATTACCCTGTTTTTTATTCTGAGCTACGCCTTCCTTATTATGGCAATATCACCACGGCAGCACACAATATAAAAATAATTAGCCTTCTAATTAGGAGCAGAGACAGAAGTCCCATGGGTTCCCAGCAGCACATGGATGTTTTTTTATACTCTAACACTAATTTATTTGGGGTTATAGTATTTGTTTGGTGTTTATTTTTAATCCACTGCTCTCCAAAAAATAGCCGCTGTTCCAGTCCAGTACAGTGCACACGGACCACAAAGGGCATGTGGTTGCAGTTATGAAATGAAACCAGCACTATAAACTATCGATGCGTGTGGGCTGGATGTACATTGCTGACAGAGAGCGCAAAGAGCATTTTATGAAGGGAAACAAAGCAACATGTGGAGCTTGTATGGCAATTTGTTGAATCTAAATCCCATTTTTAAGGGTGCGTGACAACATGAATGAACATATGTCTGTGCAGATATACCTTACTCATATTTCAAGCATGTGTGGCACCTCCCAGTTTGCCGTTTTCTTAATCCCATTTGCAACATGACAAAAAGTGTTGTGCAATGTCAGCTGGCACCTGCATCGAACGAAGGCTGTTAGGGGGGTCATGGTTATGCAATTCAGCTGATTTAGTATACAACATTGCCTCTACAAAATATCTATTTGATACTTGGGGAAACCTGTTCAGTCACACGGAGGAGGCTTGACATGGCCTCTGTCGCCATCTGTTGGTGGTTTAAGAGTAAAGGTTTCATTTAAAAACCATGCATTCTTCTTTGTAACACTCAATATCTCCTGTTGGGGTCATAAAGAAATATGTGCATCATATCTAGACGCCTCTGTTTGATCAATGCACTGTCAAATGGCTGGAGATTTGACAAACATGCATGATAATAATAACATGAATGATGCACAGGCGGGTTGTAACTCTTCCCTCAGCTCATTGATTGTGTGGTCTATTCAGTGGCTAATCCACTTGGCTAAATACATGGGACCGGACTATGTCAATGAGCCCCTCTCTGCATTAAAGAGTGAGTCGAATCAATCAGGGATGCTGGCGTGCACCACAGTAAATCAACCCAACACACACACACACACACACACACACACACACACACACACACACACACACACACACACACACACACACACACACACACACACACACACACACACACACACACATACCATGTATACATCACTTCAGGGGACATTACATTGACTTACATGCATTTCCTGGAGACTTATCCTAACCTTAACCATAACCAACACATGCCTAACCCTAACCCTTACCCTAACCCTAACCAAGTCTTCACCCTAAAATTAATGGTTCCCCTCATGGGGACCTCCAATTTGTCCCCATAAGGGAAGCCAGTCCCCACACGTGACTGTGTAAACAGATTTAGGTCCCCACAAGTATAGTAATGCTAGACCACACACACACACACACACACACACACACACACACACACACACACACACACACACACACACACACACACACACACACACACACACACACACACACACACACACACACACACACACACACACACACACACACACACACAGAGGGAGAGAGAAGAAATAGCTTATTTAAACGTCACTGAATGATCCCTTATTGAAAAGGAAGCCATGATTAGGTAGATTAATCAATCAAGCAAAGGAGCAGACACACTTTTCAAAATGACTTTCATTTTTTGTTAATAACATATGCCCACAGCCTTTTTTAATATGTCAGACAGAAAAAGGGTACAATGAATGGAAGGCTCAGTGTACTATCTGGGATAATTGTCTGCTTATGTGATGACTTTGCTGTTCTTAAGTCTCCAAAGGGAGCCTTTTTGTTGCCAGTCAGGGGGAAGGGCTCTCAGTCTGGTGATTTATGAAAAACCTCAATCAATATGTGGTATTAGTTTTGCAAATGAATGTCAGAATGATGTAGTCCTCTGGTCATTTAACGTTTCACACGGTAATGCGCTTCATGGCACCGGATCAGATCAGCTTTTCTCTGTCCCTGTAGTGAAACCGGAAAATTGGTCAAAGTCAGGAATTGTGTGACAAATGTAGGCAATGGATTACAGTAAAGAAAGCTGAGTGAGGCCATAAAGCACTTTAAAACATTTCAGTGTGAACTGATCAATTACTCACTTTACTGTAAGGGACCACAGTTTGCCAACACTGCTGTAAATTATAAGCAGAAACAGGACAGGAATGGTGACTTAAAAAAGGCAAATGTAATAAAGCAAATGACAGAGTTATACAAATGTACACCTTGTCCAGTGGTTTAAAGTAACTAAGTAAATGTACTCAAGTACAATTCTGATACTTGTACTTTACTTGAGTAAGTGTTGAGCATATATCACATTAATCAATTAATCCAAGTCTGTAAAGTAACTAAAGGTACAAAACCAATTTAGTCGAGTAAAAGTACACAATTAACCTCCTGAACTGTAGTAGTGGGGTAGAAGTACAAAGTAGCAACAACAAATGGAAATACTCAAGTAGGCCTACAGTACAAGTACATTTGGTTTATATACATAGTTTAGTAGTTTAGCTTTGCTATAACTCTCATAGGAGTGAACAGTTCCTTCAATGCTGAATCTAGTTCTCTATAAACATCCATGACCGTTACTTTTTCTCATCTAAAAGTTAGCCATCAGTTGTTGACACATCCGGGACATTCGTTTAGCTTTAGCTGCGTTGACGAGCCGTTGCCGAACCGTTGACGAACCGTTAAAGAACCGTTGACAAACCGTTAAAGAACCGTTGACGAATCGTTAAATAACCGTTGACGACGAGCCGTTATTCAATGTTGTACCTGTTGATGCTTCATCTCTCAAAAACATTTATCCAAATAATACATGTTGGTGGTTCAATAATTGTTGTATAAACAAAACAAATCAGCAGCGGGGATCTTGAACGCTGCGTCAGCCAAGTAACGTAACTGAAAAAAACGTGACGTCAGCAGCTAATTATCAGTTGTTGACACATCCGGGACATTAGTTTAAACTGCGTCATATGAGTAGCTATTTAAGCTAACTTGCAAGTTAACAAGGTAACCAGCTTTATGTACAGTAGGTTACATATTCATGTCATTATAGCGTACTTATTGAGCCATTTATTGACTTAAAATGAGTTTAGACACACTATTTGAGCAAATCCTTGTCACTGAACAACAGTTAACTGAACAGACTCAAAGAATAAAGGAAGGTATGTTTGTTTTTCTACTTGAATTTCGGACAGAAAAATATGCTAAAGCTAACATATGGGGACTTCATTGCTACCTAGCTATGTTAGCAATATAAACATTAGCCACCCTCTTATACTTATAATTAATATATATCAGGTTTCACTGGGTTCAACCAATCACAAACACTGGCAAAAAACCTAATTTCGATCTGGGATTAAGTACTTCAATTGATTGATTTAAAATATTAAGATTTTGTTATTCACAATATTCATAAATGCTGCCACTAACACATCTTATTTTTCAAACTAAATTATTTTGTCTATTTTCTTTTATCAATTATGTAATCATTGATACATTTAATGTGACATTCAAACATACTTCTGTTGTGAAATGTAGCTCAGTGCATGTGAGTGCTTTGCTGCATGCTATAGGCTAATCAGTAATCTTTATTTCAGTTAAAGTGGCCATCATCAGATACAATGAGAAGATAAAGGGCGCCTCTGAGAAAAATGAAAAGACCAAGGAGGAACTGGAGACAATGGTGAGTTTATTTCCCTTATTGTAAGACAGGGTTGCCAACTTTGGGTTCCTGGCTGGAGTGAGATTTTGATATCATGGGTTTGATTACACATATGCGCACGAAATGACTGCTATCGTGTCAGCAGCGGGACCTTAGCATATATATAGGATTAATATACAATATATACAAATACATAATATTGGACACGGACTATAAAGGGCACAACGTTTCATTCACTAATGAAAGTCAAACACATGTTTGTTTCCACTGTTTTATTGTGTGCCTGTCGCGATAAGCAATTAATTGACTTATCGTACGATAAATAAAAATGAACTCGATAAATAGAAATGAACTCGATACATTTCCATTTACATGAGGATGTGACTAGCAGTTTGAAAGGATGTACTTGAATTACTGTTATATATTATCATTATGTCAGTGGTCTAAAATGGTCATACAACGGTGCCGACAATATTATCGTTTATCGCAATAATTTCCGGGAAAATGTATCCAACAAAATGAATTATCGTGAGAGGCCTATACATGAAACACACACACACACACACACACACACACATACACACACACACACACACACACACACACACACACACACACACACACACACACACACACACACACACACACACACACACACACACACACACACACACACACCACACACACACACACACACACACACAAATCTGCAGACTTACTCCAAACTGCCAAATATATTAATTAACACACTCTCACTCTCATATATTCTTTGACTCTATTTTGGCCTAGTAGAACAATAAGCAGCAGACTTTACTTTTTATAATTTCTACCGGATCTTAGATCGGCGCTTGCGCAATACGGGTCGGCAGTATTTTTGTTGGGTTTTCCATGGTAGGGCTAACCCATACAGCGGTGGGGCTCAAGCAGGCCCGGACTGGCCATCGGGAGGACCGGGAGGTTTCCCGATGGCCAGGTCTGCTAAGTGAGGATTTTTTTTTTTAATGTATGTATTGTGAACGCAACGCTGCGCAAATGTGGGTCTGACTCTGCCTCACAGAGGGTGA